TTTAGGATGATGTCGTAGAACAAGGACTGACAATGTTGTCAATGCCTATTTTTTTCCTTATAATTTACCAGAATGTAATAATAAATTATCAGGACCACTGACAGCTAGAAATAACAAAATGAATCGACACGTGTTATTTATTTGAAAATGTTTATTCAAATCATACAACGTTGCGCGCCGTTGTCAACCGGTAACATCTGAAATTCCCCTACTTTAAATGCGTTAAGAAGTACTTTCAGTTTAGTAAGGTAGATACCTAGGTAAAACGTATCAAAATAAGTGAACTAAAAAACTAATCAAACTAAGATTCAATCACAACAACAACGTGACCTAAAAGTTGAGTAATAAACAACGTAAACTAAAAAAATTAATAAAGAACGGCCGATAATCAAAGTTATTTAATTAATAGCTAGTAAGCCCTCCCGTCACATTGGCATCGTCTTGGCATGTTGACAACCACGAGATTAATGAATGCCTGAGGGATATTTTGCCTCTTCTTCGATGGCAAGGGCGAACTCATCCAGCGTTTGGGACCATTTTCGCGCGATCTTACCAATAACTTAAGCTGAGACCACACAAGATCAGGAGATTTTGGAGGCAGGTGTAACTGTTGCCTGTTATGCTCCTCCAAAAGCTCCTAAACAATTCTTGCTTTGTGTGGTCTCGCATTATGGTCAACCATGAAGAAATGCTCCCCAATATTTTCTGCATATGGAATAACAATGTCATTTAATATGTGATTCCGATAAATTACGGCAATAACAGTACCCCGTGAAATGTATAAGTCGGATCTATCGTTGTACATCACTCCGGCCCAAACATTAAACCCTCCTTCCCCAAAGGTTTCCTGAGAAGCCATGTTGTCTTCTTCAAATCGCTCCCCAGGTTGCCTCCATACTAACACCCTATCATCGGAGTGTATCAGGTTGAACCGCGTTTCGTCGCAAAAGAAATACAACGAAATCGGCTCCGAATATTTAAATTTTATCAGTGGTATTAATAATTATTAGCACGCCACTGTATAGCATATCATTGAGGTATTCGAAATTTTTAATCATAAAAATACACTAATCGAAAGATATAACAATTGCTATATAATAAAATTGATTGAATGAAAAACAATAATTTCTGTTTGCACGCCACTGTACAGGGTGTCCGAATTTGGAAGGTTTTAATAGGAAACGTCAATTTCTGAGCGAGATACAAAAAAATGAACCCCCCACTCCAAGGCTCAGATTTCTTGAAATTTTGATTGGTGCAAACCGCATTTTGATATCTTCGACCGTTTAGCCGCTAGAGGGCGATTCTCGATTTTGAGCAATACTGTGAAATCGTCATAACAGTTTTGTTTATAAAAATAACTGAGTTCCGTAAAAACTTCCTAGAAGCACTTTTTCAAGCAGAATTCAGTGACGTTTTCAGTTTTTTTCTATTGGGCCTCGATTTCAAAATATTGACCAAAATCCGATTTTTTTCAATGGGACACCCTAGATATTAATAGCTTATTAAAAAGCTCTGCTTTTGCTGATTTCAATGATACATTCGATAGGTTTATCTCTAAGAGTTTTCGAGAAAAAAAAATATTTCGGCTTTTGTCATAAGAAACAATGAGTTAGAAAGAGACCTTTCTCAGTTTCCTTACAGATATAAAGTCCTTTTCTTACACATTACTTCTTATGACAAAAACCGAAATAATTTTTTCCTACGAGCGTGCGCAAAGTAGTACTTTTCCGCACGCATTTCGGTTCTCAAAGTTGCACTTTTCCGCACTCAGTGCGGATACAGGCCTTATCCGCACTGAGTGCCGAAAAGTAAAAATAATTGTCAAGCAACAATAAGTACACCTGTCGACTTTGACACATGATGACAAATTTTTCCTCTGTTCCTGTTCCAGCTAACATCTATACCTACAAACACCAAATTTAATTAACTTCAACACATTGTCAGATTTGTTTTCTATATATATATGCATCTACAAACTTTCTCATCAAATTTATAGCATTTTTCCATTTGTCGAAACAGGGCAAAAAAATGTATCCTTATCCTTACATTTTACATGCTTTTAGAAAAAGATGCGGATGCACTCAGTGCGGCACTGATGACAAATGGAAATCGCCATTAAACGCTTTAAGATGAAGAGCTCTGACGATGATTTTCTGTTATATTTTTTTTTTGTTATGTAATTTTTTGATAAATGCATAGGTTCCCTTCAAGTTAATTAAAAATAATTAAACAAATTATCGTTTTTTTTTTTAATTTTTGTTGTTACCTACCTGATATGAAGCTCGTAGGAAAAATTTTGTTCCTAACACGTGCGCAAAGTGTCTTTTCCGCACGCAAACACGTATCCGAACTCCGCTTCGCGTCGTTCGTATAACTGTGTTTGCGTGCGGAAAAGTAACACTTTGCGCACTTGTTAGGAAAATAACTATTTTCTACTTGCGTGCGCAAAGTAATCACTTTGCGCACTCATTTGCGTGCGCAAAGTTGAACTTTGCGCACGGAAACTCTTTGCGCATAATTACCATAGTTATACTTGGTTTTTCAATGTTTTGATGGTTTCTGAATAAACTAATATTCATAATGAAGGGTTTTAGTTGATATTAGCGCTTAGTTAACATGATGTTTCCTATCAAAGGTGTCCAAATTGGACCAGCCTGTACTGCTAGGAATTTGTACAATTTTTGATATTTGAGAGACTCTCATGAAAATATTCTAGCTGGTATTCTAGAAATTCCAGAAGATGTTAAAAGATTTTTTGGGATTTTAATTTAAGATATTCTAAGGAATTCCAATAGATTTTAAACGATTTTTGAAGATTTTGATTTGATTGATTTTTCTAATATTGTAATAATTCAAAGTCTACTTTTTTAAGATATTCGTAGAAAAAATATTGTTCCTAACACTTGCGCAAAGTGTCTTTCCCGCACTCAAAGCTTATCCGAACTCCGCTTCGCGTCGTTCGTCTAACTGCTTTTTCGTGCGGGAAAGTATCACTTTGCGCACTTGTTAGGAAAATAAGTATTTTTCTCGAAAACTATTAGAGATAAACCTATCGAACTTTATATCATTGAAATCAGAAAAAGCCGAGCGTTCTAATTAGCTATTAATATATAGAGTGTCCTATTGAAAAAAACCAGACTTTGGTCAATATCTCGGAGTTGGGACCAAATAGAAAAAAACTGAGAACGTCACTGAATTCTGCTTGAAAAAGTGCTTCTAGAAAGTTTTTACGGAAATCAATAATTTTCTTAAACAAAAAAGTTATGATGGTTCCACATTATTGCTCAAAATCGAGAATCGCCCTCTAGCGGCTAAACGGTTGAAGATATCAAAATGCAGTTTGCACCAATCAAAATTTCAAGAAATCTGAGCCTAGGAGTGGGGGGTTCATTTTTTTGTATCTCGCTCAGAAATTGATGTTTCCTATTAAAACCATCCAAATTCGGACACCCTGTACAGCATTTCATTGAGGTATTCGATATTTTTAATCATAGTGAATACGCTGGCTGAAAGGTATGACAATTGCTAAAAAAAATTCACCGGTAAGAACGATTCAGGATGGTTTAGAACGGAAAAGTTGAAAAAATTAATATGGTTATGTTAAATAAACGATATTTTAAAAACAAAGGCAAATATCAAAATTTTGAGAAATTGGTTTCTTAATAATATGTCAATGATTAAAGTGAACTACACAAATGAAAAAAGTTCAAAAAAGTGGAGGTTATGAAAAAAAGTCGATATTTTTAAAACTAAGGCAGGTATAAAAAAATTGAGAAATTACTTTTTTTGCAGAAGATCATTGATTAAAACGCCGCATAGAAATAAAATTTAAAAAATTATCTGAGAAAGTTACACACATTGTTCTCGATTACATTGATGTGAGGGAGTAAACAATTCATAAACAGGTTCATTTCTGCCTTGGACCAATTAACACCCCTTTTTTTTAATCTTCGTTATCCGTTTTACACAAATTTAACTTTTTAACACAGGAAAAGCGAAAAGTTGAGGTTATGGTTGAGCTTTCACGTAGAATAACGCGGAATAACGGTAGAATTGAAGTTTTTAAATTCAAATTTTAATTTCGCATAAAATCATAGATGGCGCCTGGCTCCATAATGTCTTTGAGCCAAAATTTACTTGATAAAAAAAGAAGAAGAAAAAAATATAAGTTGATTAACTAACGACTCTGGCAAACTTAGCAAAAGTACCCAAATAACTTTAATCGGCATTTTTAACATTGATCAATATTTAATAGCCTGTTCACTTATGAAATATTTGACAGGGGGCAAAAGTACCGGCCCTTAGTCTGGCTAAAAAATAATAGAATGAGCTCCAGGAAGCTCTGTACGCTGTATTTATAAGGAATAACTGCTGATGCAGCATTTACGTAGGCGGAATGGTGGTACTACCAGTGCAGTACCGCTGATTAAGCAGTTTTACATTATTATAAGTTTTGACAGAGGCGTACGCTTATAATTAACATAGGAAAGGAGAATTATTAGTATACTGATAACATGGGGTCTTACAATATAACTTGCCTCTTCCGGTTGCGTAATTTAGTTCATTCGAACCGCTTTCGTTAAAGATACCTGATGACTATAGATGGGGTCCGTATAATAATTGTTAGATTAGATTTAAACCTTTGTCGTTGACTTAAGTAGCGAAACAGATAACTTCGTTAATTTATTATTTTAATTTGAACTTAGATAATCCCAACTGAGAATATTGGGAGTATTTTATTTACTTTATTTCTTTCCAATTATAACTTCGATTATTGGGCTTTAATCTAAGAGAAACTTATTTGATTGCATTTAAATCTTTTCAAGGTAAAAAATAATTGCCAAAACCATTTTTCCGAAAATTCCCCTTTTTCACTTTTTAAATCCCTGTAATTTATGGCCCTCTTTTGGGATCTTCACAGTTTCAATAAATAATACATATAATTTAGTAGTCATGGACAAATCATATAAGATATGCCATTGATAAATTATTGACAGATTCGTTGCATGTCATGGAGTAAAGACGATCGCCTACTTGCAACCTGTGGTTCGGAAGGCGCCGTTTACGTGTGGGACGTAAGCGAATCCACCAGAATTTCGGAGACAATTATCAAGTCCAATCCATTCACCGCAGTTTCAATTACACGGAGTGGAAAGGAGACGTACGCAGTTGGTAATGACGGACACATCAGAGAATTGATCAATTCCAATGTGCACAGGTGACAATGAACAATAATTATTCGAACAACGATATAACCAAGCCCAATCTATCTACAGAGATGTTGTGCTATTACCTCCAAATGCTGGACTAGATTCCGTAGTACTTTCTCAATTGGATACTATGCTGTTTGTTGCAGGCAATCAGGGAACTGTCTACAGCATCAAAATGCCGTTACTAGAAAAAGCCGAGTATATTGAATTTGTGATGCATAGAAGAACTATAACCCAGGTGGGAAATTTGAAATATTTTTTGATCAAGTTTTAATTCGAAAAATACTTTTTATATATTTATAATTTCATTACATTGATTTTGTTTTGAGATAAGACAATAACATTGAATAGTAAGATAATTAAGTAGGTTCATCTTCTTCTATGAGATAACTTTCTAAGGCCTACATTTTTGCCCCATAATTTCCTTTCAGATGCATCTATCCTATGACGATCGATTCCTGTTGACCGGAGGAATAGATGGCAGTATTTGTTTTTGGAAACTGGGCAACACTGAAGAGAAATCGATCAAGCTTGACAAAGAGATCGCTTCATCCAATGAAATTTTAATATCCAGAGAAATTCTCGAGGATAAAATGGATCAAATTAAAAATCTACAGTTGAGGTTGAAGGAGCTGGAGACTGAACATTCTTACCAGATGAGGCAAAATGATGCTTTACATTCGCTGAAAATGAAAGATATTCATTCAGAGTATTGTCATGCCATAGAAGAGTTGAAAATAAAAAATGAGGTAAAATTATAAAAATATAGGTTCATTAATTCAATAAATTTCCTGGGATTCAACATATTTCAAATTATGTGGGTTTTTCGAAGGTAAGCAACTAAGTAATTGTACGTGATTTTAGAGGTTACCATTTGTAACTTAGACCTGCTCTGAGCACATCTGGATACTTATTCTCCAAAACAGTGGAGCAGCGTTGTAATTATTTTCATAGAAATCTAATTTCTTTTCCAAACAGAATAATACCTATACCTAAAAATTGACCCAATATTTTTTCTTAGCAAATGGAATCTGAGCATGTTCAAGAGATCAACAACATCAACGGCCAAATAGCTAAAATGAGAGCTGACCATGAACTGGCCGTACAGAAACTAGAAGCCAGCTATAATGAAAAATTGATCATCGAGTACAAGAAATTTATGAGGTATGTTGAGATTGCAAATAAAGTATAAGGTATGTGGTTAGATTTTTTTAGTATACCTACCCGATGTTACCTAAGCGAGTTCGCATATGTGGAGACTACTCTTTCAAAATTAATTTTCTCTTATTCAAGAAAATACCTATTACAAAAATCACAAAAAAACTAGAAGTAGGTATTACACTTCGTTCAACTACAATCAAGCTTAACTAGTAAACAAAACTGAATTACAACCCGCTGCCCTACTAGCGACTAGTGTTCCTAGCCTCGAATTTAATATCACTGACCTTTTCTCTCGGTAGCTGAATCCGTTTGCATTTAGATTTGTCTAGATAGCTCGCTTCTGTCCGTTTCGAATTCGCTAGGCTGTATTGCGCAGTAAAATTTAATTCGCAAATTTTTTTGTCAGGCAGTGTGGCATGATTGTTCATAATTTTCCCAGCTGGAGAGATTCATAACAATATGAAAAGACGGAAAACATAACTGAACTGAGTATAATCATCTATTATTGTTCGAAGGCAAACTATTAAGTAACTTTTGAAAAATGATTTTGTTGTTATTAGAAAATATATTATTGTTGGTACTAAGATAATTGCAAATTATATCTATGCATGCACCTGTAGGCGAAAAGTTCGCCGTGCTTGAAAAATTTGTACGAAAAAAATAGAGGTTGAAATATTTGTTTCTTTTAAATTATGATTGGGATCTGGGAAATGGCCTCAGAGTCTACTCAATAATAAATCGGTATTATTTGTTTTAACAGGTATGAGAACAAGATGTGTCGAATGCTCAAAGAGCAGGAACAACAATACGAGATTTTGCAGAAATGCAAGGAGGAGTCAGAAGACTCTATTACGAATTCACACCTTGAAATAATTAAGGAAAAAGATAATAACATAGAAGAGGTAAAAAGTTATTATATTATTTATGTAGACACTTCCATTATGTTCTTTGCGTTTTTTGTGCATGTGTATGAAACCTTTTTTTATTAGGTCAGGCTAAAGAAACAAATCTGAAAACAATATACACATCACATAACTCGCATAAGAAAAATGCTTTAACTGAACTTGGTACATAAAATGTGGGTACATAAGGATATAACACTTTTTTCTTAACGTGTGTTGCATAATAAAACATACAGGCTGTCCCTACAAAATCGCGATGCCATAATATTTGTTAGGGCCCTTTCCGGCAGCAAATTTACATTCTCTATACAAGTGGGTATCCGGACGTACGAAATCGTATACGGTTTGGTATCAGCACGCAAATTTCCACTGAAACCTACCTAATTGTCAATATCTATTCAAGATATTACATTACCCTTAAAGGGCATGAATCATGTTCAAATAGATTTACTATATTAGTATCCAATAATGTAATGAAAATACAAAGATGGAAAATGAAATGCTATTATTATTACATACTTATGTATTATAAAAATAAACAAAACTTAACGAAAGAAATGACATACTTAGTAGTTGGGGAGCTGGCGTCAAAAACATGCAAGAGTTTTCGCAAGGCGGATATTTTCAAAATAGGTCGTACTTTAGTGCTAGAATGCTAGTGTACAGTCAGCGCTCACAGTTCCGGGACAGCTGGCTTTGGGACGCGGGCAAAGTTGTAATTTTAAGAAGCATCTAAACTGTTTTCTCAAAGCTCAAAATTTATAGAAATTTTGCACATTATCTGTTTGAAGGTCACAGATAACGTATGTAAATCGTCAGACGTCTAGTTCGTTGCAAAAAGGGGATCAGACGTCCTCAAAGTTCTTATTTTATGGCATTTTCTTCAAATATATTTGTCAAATACCTGCAAAAATATATTTTGACAGGACACCGATGAAAATGCCATAAAATAAGAACTTTGAGGATGTCTGACCCCCTTTTTGCAACGAACTAGACGTCTGACGATTTACATACGTTATCTGTGACCTTCAAACAGATAATGTGCAAAATTTCTATAAATTTTGAGATTTGAGAAAACAGTTTAGATGCTTCTTAAAATTACAACTTTGCCCGCGTCCCAGAGCCAGCTGTCCCGGAACTGTGAGTGCTGACTGTACACTAGCATTCTAGCACTAAAGTACGACCTATTTTGAAAATATCCGCCTTGCGAAAACTCTTGCATGTTTTTGGCGCCACCTCCTGGACTATAGGGGTTTATTCTGTAACTTGTCGTTACATAACGATATCGTTGTCGTAACGACTGAGTTGGTAACGACAATTTTAGAAAAGCTATTCAGTAACAAGGTCGTTAGCTTTCGCTGTCGTTATCGACCTAACGACTACAACTTCATTCCACCCTACTTGAATAGGGTGCATTTATGGCAAGGATCTTCAAATTTACATTAAAAATTAGCTGACAATTGATGCTATAAAAATCCTTTCTGTTCATGAAGACGACAGCAGGGTGGCCAAGTTGAAAATGCATAGATGTAAAAATTTTGATGTGATAACCATCGACACAACCAGCTTATTCCTGGAATGTGAAATTTTGTAAAAAACCCATTTGGTACCTACAGCGGTTGTTTCTTGAGGATTCTGAGGGAATCGAATATTTATACACGTTCGCGAAATTGTCTACAAGTGCATCTACCACCTCATGAATATAGCAGGTAACATATTGCTTTGATGATGCTGCAAATCGACTAGAATCAAGTGGTTTCTGGTAACGGTAACTTCCTTTTGCCCAAAAAAGCAAACAAGTGAATAACTTTACAATTGGTAGTCCTTGAACTGTTTTCCAGAAAATGCAACAATTGTGTGAAAAGACTCTGAGCAGTTTCGTCGTCCGGTCTAAACATTTGAAGAAAACCTTTCTCTAACAATTTCAGGGTATTGCGTACATCACTATGGAACAACATCCTTGCCTTAAAAAAATTATCAGCCAGTTTCTTTTTGATGAAAGTAATCTCTTGTCGTTTACGAACTTCATCAAGAGCAGCTTCTACTAATTCTGGATCCATGATCAATTAAAATCGGCAGTTAAATATAGTACAAACACTACCAGTCTGCAACAACGATCGTTGTGCTTATAACGAGGGCCACTGGGCTGTCGTAATCTAACGACGCTTTTGCGTCCATTTTATCGTTACAATAACGACGACCGAAAATTACTGAATCGAAAAAGTCGTTAGCTAACGACAATCGTTGAATAACTACGTCGTTACGAGTTACAGAATAAGCCTCTTATTAGGTAACGTAGAATAAATGAATATTAGTTTCACATATTAGTCCAGGAGGCAGCGTCGAAAACATGCAAGAGTTTTCGGAAGGCTGATATTTTCAAAATAGGTTGTACTTTAGTGGTAGAAAGCAGGGCCGGCTCCAGGACCCGTGCATCCTGTGCCCCTGCACGGGGCGGCAAAATCGAAGGGCGGCAAAAATCTCGGGGGGAATAGTTGGGCAAAAGAAACCACACTACAAAAAAAGCTTTATGATATATTTCATTAATTATCGCTGTCGCCTGCTCTGTAAAAAAATAATACATAATATGTTCGGGTTTTTTCGAACTCTGGTCAATTCCAAACGATCTGCGCACAGTTCTAAAGACTGAATAAGTACGCAACTAGTCCTGCGCTGAAGTTCCAGGATGCGGACCTACCCTGTGGAACATCATGTACCACGGACTCTTGAAACTAAGACTACCAAAGGGCGCTACACTGATAGGATACGCGGACGATATTGGACTGACAGTTCTATGCAAAAACCTGGATCAGATTGAAAGAATGCTACTAATAGCAATACCAGCCAGGTATTATGTCGTGGCTCCAGGAGAATCAACAGGAACTAGCAAAAGAAAAAACAGAGGCACATTAACCAATAAAAAGGTGGTGCCAAATAGAGTGTTTATCGTATGGGGAGAGACGATATCTCCAACCACAGACATTAAATACCTGGGAGTATGGCTAGATAACAAGCTAACATTTGCAAGCCACCTAAAGTAAACTGCGGTCAAACCAGCAAACGCCATGAAAGCCCTGGCTAAATTAATGCCCAATGTGGGAGGCATGTATCCAACCAAAAGAAAGCTACTATGCTCTGTGGCCAGGTCGATTATGCGGCCCCAGTTTGGGGTGAAGCCATGAAATACAGGAAGTACCGGAGCTGGCTGGAAAACATCCAGAGGAATGCTGCACTGACAATATGCTGCGCCTACCTCACAACTTCAACAGAAGCAGTACTGGTCATTGCAAAAACACCACCGATAGACTTCCTAGTGAAACAGGTCGCCGAAATATCGGACGCCGGGGAAGAGAGAGAGGCATTACGAGCAGAACTTAGGATCAACCTAGTACAAGAACGTCAAAATAGATGGGAAAACGAAAAGAAGGGCAGATGGACCTATACACTAATTCTAAGTTTGGCCACATGGGTAAATAGGCCGCATGGCGAAACGGACTTCTTCTTGATGCAGATGTTGACGGGTCACGGCTGTTTCAGGGACTGCACATACATGATCAATAAGACCACGGATAATGAATGCGTTTACTGCGGAGAAAGGGATAACGTTGAAAACACCTTTTTCTCATGCGGGCACTGGAAAGAGCAACGGGAGACATGCATCGAAAGAACAGGACCAATCACACCCCAAAACATTACCCACAAAATGATCAGCAAAGTCGAAAACTGGAACGCAGTCAAAGAAATGGCCAACGCAATCTTGAAAGTGAAGACAATGGAAGAAAACACATACAATCAAGAAATGCCAATGACACCAACAATGGCGACACATGACCAATACGTAATTTACGCAGCTTCCCCTGAGGTAATGCTAAAAGGCGATTCAGGGGTGAGGGAGAAACCGTCGATGGAAGAGGGGAGTTTTTTAGTTGGTAGGCAAAGAGAACTTCTTCCCTTTGAATTATCCAGGATAGTTCGCGAACAGTTCGAAAAACGAGAACCAAAACGAGAACCAGAAAACACCTACCGCTTACCGCTAGCTATAGTCCAACAAATACCATTTTAAAGTCACGTGATTTTTCTCTATCCTTGTTGAATACATCTCAAACAGCGGTGATAGTAAAATTGACAAAAAAATTGCTGTCTAATTATTGTTCGTAAAATTCTTACCTGAAATAGAATCCGTCACTGTCATCAATTAGTTTGTCAAAGTTATTTTCGAAAATAATACAATGAACAAACACAGCTAATAATTTTGACTATATTAACCTTTCTCCAACTCGAAAAGAAGCAAATAGAAAACGGATACCCAGTTTAAGTTCAGAATGTATTACAACAGACAGCGGATACGACAAAAGTGAGTCTCGCAACAATTGCAAGTATTAAAATTGCCCTCTGATTGGTCAATACTACTCCAGAAACGCGTTTGTAAAATGCTAGTGGGAACATATCCTAAAATTCAATAGTAATTAATCACCAGTAGCATTTTGTAGGTGATATGAACGACATAATCAATGGACATACGTTTTTTGCCACCAGTATCACGTGACTTTAAAATGATGGACCTTTCTCATGCAATGAACAACAAGGATAGTTTATTAAAATTTCTGTAATAAAGAAAGAGACACTTATAATGTCGCGCGTTACCTGTGTGGAATGACTTTGATTGGTTCCACCTGTCAAATTGTGCAATTTCGGTTATGTTTCTGTTTTTGTTTATTTTTAAACGTAAATATGAAAAACATGTGGGGGAAAAGTTTGGAGAATTTTGAAAAGTACGAATTTGCAAATGCTAGCAAATTTTTCAGCACTAAAGGATGGACTAAAAGGCAAGTAACTAGAGGATATAAGTTTTTTACCGAACGTTATATCCACAAAGTGTTCACGGCCGGCAAGAATGTAAAAGCGTGCTGCTATCGAAGTCAAAAGAAAAATTTGAAACCTCACAGCCTTTCTATGTCTTTCCAAGAAGTCGACGAGTTGTTAGAGTTAATAGAAGCTCATTGCAGTTGTGAAGCTGGGTAAAAGACACTGATTTGATTACCTACAATATTATGAATAAAAGTAATTTTTCAGCAACTCGGAATCATGCAATCACGTGGTTGGACTAGCCCATTACTTGGACGATTTAATTCGCAGAGGTTGTACTGTAATACCCGATGATGAAGAGATGTCCTGTACATCACTTCCCATGCAGTGGAACAAACCCAGAGGTGCAAAAATTTTACCGGAAAAAGTGTGCACCTCTGTTTTTGCAAGTCCCATTAATACGGAAAGGAAAAAAGAGCCTGTCAATCGACCTTTAGGTGCCCTTTTTATAATGATGTGTTGAAGGAGGTAACAATTGAAGAAGTTGGAAAATTACGCGACAGTTTAGGTCCTGGAAAGTGCTTAACAAGCTTTTTCTATATGTAGCTGGGAACGAAAATCCGGCTCTTACAGTTTCCCTTTCCAATGGTTCGCACTTCAACAATGACTCTTTGGATTGAGCTTTAAAATAAATTTCATTTTAGGCATGTCAGCCCCTCGAGGTTCAGTCCTGGAACTCATGGATCAAGGGTTTTCCAAGACATCAGAGGTGCAGCCTTCTTCAAACGAGCGCAACTTACCTATTTCCTTACCCAATTTGCGTTCCGATGCTGTAAATATTTTGCTAAGCTTACCACCTGTGTATCACAGTAGTTTGGAGGAAATAACTTTTGAACATTCCGTTGCCATCGAAAAAGCTACAAGAAATCAGTCAAAGTGTAAAATGTGGAAGGATTTGCGCCGATTGCGGTTTACAGCGTCAAATTTTGGTGCAATATGTAAGCGGCGTTTGTTTAACAACCACTTCTTGGAAGGATACATTCAAGGACCCAAGGATATCTCGAACATTGGAAGTGTGCGGCATGGCCTCGAAAATGAGAATACTGCCATACGTTTGTATTTGTTGCAAAACACAAATGTAAAATATTTCAAATGTGGTCTTGTTGTGCACCCGTATGCTAGTCACTTAGGAGCTAGTCCAGATGGTATATATACTTTACAAAGAAGGCAATTGGGGAATATTAGAAGTGAAATGCCCCTGCACCCGAAAAGCAGAAAGACTGTCCGACTATTTGAAGATGCCAACGTTTTGCTTAAAGGAAAATGATGGCGAATTAATTTTAAAAAGAACGCACAGTTACTTCTATCAGGTCCAAGGCCAGATGTTACTAACGGGTTTTTGCAATTTTGTGAATTCGTAGTGTATATAAAAAGTTTGCAGGAACTACTGACTGTAACTGTAGCATTCGATTTTAACTTCTGTGATGATATGTACAAGAAATTGACGAATATATATGAAACTTACATTTGCCCTTTGCCGGCTCCAACAAATGTCAAACCTAGCATATAAATCAGCGTCGCACTTTTCAAGAAATTTTCATCTATTTAATATTTGATATTTAATATTCAATATATTAATTTATACATTTTGTTTTTGCTTTTTATTTCCTAATCATAATAAACATTATATGTTTATGCTCTCAATTTATGTCTGAAGATACATAGGACGCAACATACTGTGTAGATTTGTTCTATACTACCCAGCATAACGATAGGTATTTTTCTGCTTAGACTGCTATATTTTTTTAAACGGCCGATGGCCCGCTCCACATGTATTCTTTCGTGAGCAATGTTGCGGATCCACTGCACTTCATCTTTTGTAAACTGTGTGTGGCTCATTCTAAAAGTTGGAATGTTGATGTCGATATCAACACCTTCTAATAAGGAATCTACCTGGAAACCCTTATCAGCGGGAATAATATCGCTGTTAAAAAGTTCTTTGTCAGCCAGTTTTCTTTTTAAAATGTTTATAAAACCGCTTTGTTCCATAATACTTTTGTCAGAAATCGAACCGGTAAATAGGGGGGACATGTAGATGATTGTACCATTGGGATCGGTTTTATGAGATTTGACGTTTTGTCTTTGGGCTACCATCATCAACTTTATTGTTTTAAATACGACCCTGGATTTTTTATTTCAGATTTTAATAGCTTCTGATATCCCAAAACCCATGACGTATCGCATTTATTCAAAAAAAAATATTTTCTTTTTTTTTTACTTTTTAGTAATTTCCTACAAAAATTCTCTCTCTAAAACATTAAGTTCTTATGGAAGAAAGTGCCAATAATATAAATGTGAATAAGTGCAATACGTCATTGGTTTTGGGGTATCAGAAACTTAAAAAATCTAAAATGGAAAATAAGGGTCCGCATTCAAAAAAATTAAATTGATGATGGTGGTCCAAAGACGAAACGTCAAATTTCAAAATTGATAATATCATCTTGTAGAGTAGGAGAAGTAATAACAATGAAGTGACGTTTATTTTGAAATATCTCCTCAAACAAGCTCAGGAAAAAATAAAATAGAATTTGCAAAATTTCGGTTTTTTCGGATATCTCGGAAAATGTTTAGAATTTTCCATATGTCAAAGTACCATTTTATTGAGCATTAAATTGCGCAACTTTTTTCCCATTAAACCATTGCCATATATCTAATACCCTTTATGAGATCCCCATGATAGGCATCCTTATCTTGAACACCCTGTATATATAAATACCAAAATAGGCTGTTATTTATTATTTTTTGAACAACCTATTATGAACATATCAGCCTTCCGAAAACTCTTGCATGTTTTCGACGCCAGCTCCCCAACCATGAGGTTTATTTGCTAAAATAATTTAAATTAATTTTCTTCGTCTCTTCTTTTTCTTTGGCGTGGTAATGCAACCAGCCTGTAATGATGTTGACCCTTTGTAATTACCTCTTCTTCATGAAATTGCAGTGAGTTGCACTTTAAATCAAAGCACTCTTTGATAAGGTTTTTTTTCGAAGACCCTTAGTATAACGTATGCCGAGCAAATTTTATTTTCGATTCAGAAACTTGTATTTTAAAATAGTTATTTTCCTAACAAGTGCGCAAAGTGTTACTTTTCCGCACGTAAACACAGTTATATGAACGACGCGAAGCGGAGTTCGGATAAGTGTTTGCGTGCGGAAAAGACACTTTGCGCACGTGTTAGGAACAACATTTTTCCTACGAGCTTCATATCAGGTCTATATAAGTGCAAGGTTGCTGCAACTACTGAAACGGACTTATTCTAATATTCACAAATGAAATGTTCATAGAATAAACTTTTCTGCAATATCCCCGCAAACTTGTATTTTCATAAAAAAATAAATTACGTTTGTAACATTTAAAATGCTAGCTTACAGAAACCTGCATTTAACGTTGTTTATAAAGTTAGATAAATATTACAGTTGCAATATTTTTATTGGCACTTTACAGAAATTTACATAATGAAATATTGTATATATGATCGATATTTATTATATCGTGAGGATTTGCATTAATGCAAGATCCTTTATTTTTAAATTTCCTTTTCTGCAAGTCCAACTACAGACCGGGGCACAATGGTTAGTTAATAAACTTCCAATTTCCAATTGATCTTATCACACGTGCCTCGATTCCTCCAACATAGGTATTGTAAAAAATCCACCTAAAATTTAAAATTAAACAGTATGTATTAAAAAATCACAGAAAATTAAAATGGTAAAATCTTACAACATTGGCTTTATTCTCTTCCTCTCCCAACATCTCAAGATCTTGATGAACCCTTTCGCCCTGTTCAGACTCTCTGTTAGTATTTGTCAAGCCAAAAAAAACAAAGCGTCGTCTGCGTCCCCGTCCTAGCGTCCTGGCTTTTGGTGGCGTGGCGTCAACAGGTCAACAACAAATGGGTGGTGCGTATGCGCCGTTTCGAATTTCCAAACAATTGTCCCGTCTTTGTCAGTCAAATATATTTTTGCATGACAGAGACAAAGACAGCATATTGCAAATAAAATCTATTTGCAAGTTTTATGCAACATTGAGAAAATTTATGTTTCCTATTCCAAAGTTTATGTTGAAATATTTAGGTAATATTTTTTATTCTTGAAACTGTTAACGTAGGCATGTAAAGGTATCGGGTCTTCAAAAAAAAAACCAATCAAAGATTGCTATGGTTTTTTAAACGTACGTCTTAGCAATATTTTTCTTTAATTTTGACAATGTCAGTCAATGAAATTTAATGTCAAAATGTCATGTCAAAAATCCTGACCAATAAAGAAACATTAATGCGACGTACGTTTTCGTAACCAAAGCAATCTTTGATTGTTTTTTTTTTTGAAGACCCGATATCTGCAACATTACAGCGACAGTTTTAAGAAAAGTTGAGCTTATATGCAACCATTTATTTTATTATATTTTTTTAATGTTACAAACGTGAATATTTCCGCAACATTGAAGCGACAGAGTTGAGAAAACTTACATTTTATAACATTATTATAATATTTGCTTTACTTACATTTTAAAATGTTTCGAATGTAATACATTATTGTATCTACTGTAACATTTACTTAATAACTAAAACGAATGTTTCTATATTGATATTATATCAAAGGATAACGCACACCTAACATGGGATTTTTGGGCTCCAAGGATTTTTCCCATTTTTTGATATGTTGTAGAGGATTTAATTCTGAACAACCTTTAAATGAGACGAAATCTTGTAGGTTTTACGGCCTTTGAGATATGAGCGTTGAAAGATGAACTTTTTTGCAACTTTTTGTGTGGAGAGTATACGAGATACTGGTGCTACTGGTGTTTATCAGTCAAAATATTGACAGGTTCACATATTTTACGTCACCTAAAAATTAATGTCAACATAGGCTAAGGCCGGGACCGCACTTGGGTCAATGTTGGCGCCAGTGCGGTCCCGGCCTTAGCCTATGTTGACATTTGTTAGTGACGTGAAATATGCCGACCTGTCAAAATTTTGACTGATAAACACCAGTTTTTCGTATACTCTCCACACAAAAAGTCGCGAAAATGTTCATCTTTCAACGCTCATATCTCAAAGACCGTAATACCTACAAGATTTCGTCCCATTTGAAGGTTGTTCAGAATTAAATCCTCTACAACATATCAAAAAATGAGTAGAATCCATAGAGCCCAAAAATCCCATGTTAGGTGCGCGTTATCCTTTATATCCTTTTACATTCGATAAGTAATATTTTAGAAAGCTTATCGTCACATTACCTAATAAATTTTCAAAAGCAAGGTCAATACAATATTGCCGACAAATTTTGCAACATTACATGTTTAGTGGGTAGGTAACAACAAAAATTTAAAAAAAAACAATAATTTGTTCAATTATTTTCAATTAACTTGAAGCGAACCTATTCATTCATCAACTCAAATCTGACAATGTGTCAAAGTTAATTATATATGGCATTTGTATGGCATTTGTCATCTCTCTTAGTGCATCCAAAGAAAGCTATATAGTGGGGGATCCCTTTCTCTCTCTATTTCATTGCTGTTAGGTTTGGTGTATATTCCTAACCTCAAATATAATATTTTTTAGACAAGGAAAGATTTTCATAAGTGACCCATAAGGTAAATAGAGATAGGAATCCCCTACATTCTCCATCTCAATGTGCCGCATTTTGGAGATAGGCCGGGCCATTCCAGGTACGTGTAGTTTATAGTTCATTGCCTATAATAGACCGATCTCCTATTACCTGGACTGCGCGCGTCGCTTGTAGGCTGCAGGTGAGCATCCAATGAGAAGCAAGTTTGTGACAGGCTTGCGTCATATTCTTATTCAGGGGCCAGTTCAGAATGAATCGTTCCTTCTTTCTTTGTAACGTGTAATTCGACAAAGAGCAAACTTATATTTTACATATACTTGAACTCACCGCAGTGTCATTTGAGGTAAAGTCTGTTTTTTTTTTTAAAGATAATTCCCCAAGTCAAAATTTTAGTAACTATGTTGGCAACACAAGGCTTTTCTGCATAAAAAATTTGAAAGCATTGACAATTTTACATTGTATTGCCAACATAATGTCAATTTGACTTTTATCTTTAAAAAAAACACACACTTTAATGTTAGATTATACTTGACATATTCTTTTGCAATTTCATTGAGCGATGTTGCCGGATGAAATATTTATCAAAATAAAAGTGCAAACGATGTTCATCCACTTTAAAGGTCTTCTTTTGTCTGATTTACAGCGTTGTAAAACACTTGACACTATGTCACTTCTTTAATGTTATAATGTTCGATTTGTATTGTCTACATTTGTTCTGCAACAATACAATCTGGCTACACTGCAGCCCCCAGTTGCGCGCGCATGTCATATTTTATTACTTTCTAACTTGTATATATTACAATTAAGCTCTTTTTTTCTAATCATGCGAGATAGGTCTATTGTTGCTTGACAATAGACCTATCTATTTTTACCTGGTATGCGCGCGCAACACGAAGCAATGCCTTTCTATTCGCTAACTAGTACAGGTGAGAGGTGTTTGTTTTGCACGCTGGGCATGTCCTTGTCCTTGTTCATTGCCCATGGACTGACAAGAATAAAAGTACGATTGATATTTATCTTGACAAAGCTTGACAAGTGACATTCAAAAGTTGTTTGAAATTTTCATTCACAAATACGTTGCACAACATGCGGTCTTTCTCCTTCCTTTTTTATCCCGTGCAAATAAGGAGAACGGTATGCTATACGTAAGTCTAACATAATTTGGTATGTTTTGCCTCGTCTTGCGCAATGAGCGTTCTGTGTCTTTTTTTATCTAATGAAGTTTTCGTATTATTACCTCTTTGTCTGGCAAAATAGATAGGTCTATTATTTTTACTTTTCGGCACTCAGTGCGGATAAGGCCCGTATCCGCACTGAGTGCGGAAAAGGGTAACTTTGAGAACGGTAATGCGTGCGGAAAAGTACTACTTTGCACACGCTCGTAGGAAATAGTTATTTTCCTAACAAGTGCGCAAAGTGTTACTTTTCCGCACGCAAACACAGTTATACGAACGACGCGGAGCGGAGTTCGGATACGTGTTTGCGTGCGGAAAAGACACTTTGCGCACGTGTTAGGAACAAAATTTTTCCTACGAGCTTCATATCAGGTAGGTAATAACAAAAATTTAAAAAAAAAAAACGATAATTTGTTGTTATTTTTAATTAACTTGAAGGGAACCTATGCATTTATCAAAAAATTACATAACAAAAAAAAATAACAGAAAATCCTCGTCAGAGCTGTTCATCTTAAAGCGTTTAAATTTGATGAAAAAGTTTGTAGATTTTTGCATATAAATAGAGAACAAATCTGACAATGTGTCAAAGTTAATTTATATTTGGTGTTTGTATAGATGTTGGCTGCTGATATAGAAACAAGAGGAAAAATTTGTCATCATGCGTCAAAGTCGACAGGTGCACTTATTGTTGCTTGACAATTATAATTACTTTTCGGCACTCAGTGCGGATAAGGCCCGTATCCGCACTGAGTGCGGAAAAGTGTAACTTTGAGCCCGGAAATGCGTGCGGAAAAGTACTACTTTGCGCACGCTCGTAGGAAAAACATTTTTCCTACGAGCGTGCGCAAAGTAGTACTTTTCCGCACGCATTACCGTTCTCAAAGTTACACTTTTCCGCACCCAGTGCGGATACGGGCCTTATCCGCACTGAGTGCCGAAAAGTAAACATATTTGTCAAGCAACAATAAGTGCACCTGTCGACTTTGACACATGATGACAAATTTTCCCTCTGTTTCTATATCAGCCATTATCTATACAAACCTTTGAATATAAAACTACAGGAAGGAGCGTTTTCTATCTGTCACTACAGACAACGAAGGGACGGAAACGGCCATTTTGAGCCTCCAAGTTTGGACTCATCATTTGTTTTGGTGGTTCCCTGTGTCCTCATTTAAGTGGATGTTTAATGGATTTTAGCAGTTTTAAGTGATGATAAGTACTGGAATTAGTGAAAAAAGAGTGAGTCATAATATTGACAATCATATTTAAATAAATATACGCCACTGCCAAACCGGAAATACTAGTCGGCCATATGCAACCTCCACATATTTTGGTCGCGCAGATTCGAAGTTATGCTCCTTCCTGTAGTTTTATATTCAAAGATACAAACACTAAATATAATTAACTTTGACACATTGTCAGATTTGTGTTCTCCATTTACATGCAAGAATCTACAAACTTCTTTCGCATCAAATTTAAACGCTTTAAGATGAAGAGTTCTGACGAAGATTTCAATTTTCTGTTTTTTTTGTTATGTAATTTTTTGATGAATGAATAGGTTCGCTTCAAGTTAATTGAAAATACTTGAACAAATTATCGTTTTTTTTTTTAAATTTTTGTTGTTACCTACCTGAAATGAAGCTCGTAGGAAAAATTTTGTTCCTAACACGTGCGCAAAGTGTCTTTTCCGCACGCAAACACTTATCCGAACTCCGCTTCGCGTCGTTCGTATAACTGTGTTTGCGTGCGGAAAAGTAACACTTTGCGCACTTGTTAGGAAAATAACTATATTTATTGAGTAAAATACAGAGGTGACAAAAGAAAATATGTGGATCAAGTTGCTACAGCAAAAGCTTGAAAAAAATTACCGTTCCTTATGGGACTGCGCTGGCATAAATAATAATTTAACGCCGATCAAGACACTTGATGTTTACTTTTCAACTATGTATTTGGAAAGTCATGGAGGAAAGGGGTAAGCTCATTTATTACTTAGCGTAGCAATTGGTTAATATGACTCCTCCCTCCTCAAGATGTAGCAAACGTGGATTGCTGTTTATTTAAATCAGACAATTTAATTTGTACATTTGCCCAACCTTTTGTTGTTTCTTGTTTTAGCTCTTCTTGGTTACACATTTTCAACTTTTGGGCATTCTGAGCTTAAATGGTATTTAGTACGGCAACAAACTTGAATAAAACCTTGAGGACAATTGCCTACACAATTTTTTCTCGAGTGATATTCGCCATGACTATTTCACGTAAGATTTTGAAAATAAATAGAATGCAAAAATTTGAATAAAAACATCAAATTAAAAATATCAGTTTGACAATTTGAAAAAATGGTCGCTGAAATACCATGTTGTTGGTATTGTCCAGGTAGCAAAATTATCAGCTGAATACCGAATTTATTGCCGGTGTAATACACTCTAGTGAAATAGTCATATATATAATACCACAAGAGAAAACATTTTGTTGGCAAAATTTTCGACTGGTATGAAAGTTTGTTGCTTGGCAAATGACATTTTTGACAAAACCACTCGTGGTTTTGTCAAAAGTTTCATGAGCGAAATTACCAAAAAACAACAAACTTGAATAAAACCAACAGAACAATTGTCTATATAATTTTTTTTTGAGTGGTATTCACAGGCTGGACTATTTCACGAGAAAAATAAGCCAAATTTTCATTTGGAAAATTAATTTCCTTAAGGTGACACTTGTCAAACTCGATAGTTTTTTACTCTAACCACACAAAATTTTGTCGCTGAAAAACCATCATCCGCGTGTGGCTAAATTCAGTTGGTATAGGCTCCGTGGTGGAATGGTAGAAAAAGCAGTGTTGTTAAATTAAACAGGATTTGGCAAGCTGTGGTTTGGCATTGGCATTAGTGAATCGTAATCACCGCCACCGTGGCGGCGCAACATTTTGGTATGAATTTAGCCACACGCGGTATGTTGGTTTTGTCCAGTTAGGAACAGGTAGGAGTTTTGTCAGTAGGAAACTGGCCGTTCCTATGACATTTTGCCAGTGTAAAACACTCTAGTGAAATAGTCATGTTTAAATTTTTTGTCAAGTTCCCTATTGAAACTTACGAGTCCTTATGACAGAAAATTGTTTCAATTCACAAACTATCAAAAAATAATTGAATAGGACAGTTCTTCAACTTATTAAAATTTGAAATAATTAGATAGGTAAGCATAATTTCTATAAATATTTCATTTTAGAAATTAGGTTGCTTCCCATTGTTATACTTTATCTACTACTGGAAAAAAATAACAGTAGTCGTGAGTCGTGGATGTGTATCAGCAATCCTTTCGGCCTATCACATTTCACGTAGGTAGTTAGTTCCAGCGGTTTAATAATTCTCGAATATTCTAGCTGAAAGAAAGGATTCTGAAACTTGTGAAAGAGCATGAATTAATCAAACAACAAATTGAAGACGATTGTGATAGAGAAATCTATGAGCTGAAGGCGGCTAATGAAAAAGACGTCAAAGAGGAGCAGGATCTTAATGTCAGATTGAGAGGGGAAGCTGCTGTCGTCAAAAAGAAACTACTAGGTGAGTTCAAAAAGTAAAAACATAATGTTCCGCATAAATAAGTCAATTCCTTACAAACCCAGCAGAATTCAGTTTAAACACAATAGAATTTACTTAAATTTGTTAATGATAAAAAATTAGGTACCCGAATAAAGTATATCCCTAGTAAAGGGGCTAGGACAGTTCTACAGCAAAATCAGTCATTTTCCCATGTAAATCTCCATAAGAAAATCTAAGGTCCATTCTGGCAATTTTTGTACCGTTCAAGGTCATCCGTCCAGCCCGCCAGCAGTCGTTGCCGCTAAGCCCCGCCCCCTTTTCAGTGCCCATGTCTTTCATCGGTCGCACTAACTGGTCAGCCGCCGCTGCGTTCGGGGTCATTGACCGTACCTGGCTCCAAGCGGCTCATCGAACACACATAGCAGCTCGTGACTTGGTACCTCATTCAAGGTGCATTGTACTGATGATGACGTAACTAATAATAAAACGTCGTTTCGCCATCGGGTCTGATGATGACGTAACTAATAATAAAAATGTTGTTTAGCCATCGGGTTTGCTGATGACGTCACTAAAAATAAAAACGTCGTTTCGCCATCGGGTCGTCAACATTTATTGCAACCGCAGCGAAACCATAACTTGTAACTTTCCTGTGACCTGCGATAAACAAGCTCTGACTAGTCTGTAGCCAATCACCAGCTTCGTATCCACCTGCACACTCCAGCGAACTTTTCCTAGAAATATGGGCCATCGTTTCAATTTTACTGTTGCTTATTACGTTGGCATCCTGCGATAAGCAAGTCCTAACAAGTCTCTAACCAATCAGAAAGCTCAGGTCTCTCGTCTCAAAATAAGAAACCAGCGACAACATTATTTTATTTACATCATATTGATACAACGTTTTAGCCCGTATTCGGATCAAAATCGCCGCTAGTTCGAGTCACTTTTATTGTCAACATGACTTAGACCCATGACTCATTTATACAAATATTTCTCTACAAAAATAATTCCGTCTCAAGTTTTCCTCATAAGGATTTTCCTGGTATTTTTGCTCCAAATATTCATTACCTATCATCAATATATTGCTAAATTATATTAACACGTTCACCAACAAAAACAAAAATAAGGCAAACGCGTCGCATAGGAAATTACACTGCTTGAGCCGTCCAGCCGCAATACTGATAAACTATTTTCATTCAGAGTAAACAATTAAACCTGCGACAATGATAAGAGCAGGCGTTACGTCATAGACATATATGTGAATATTTTCATCAATGCAGTATCAGTTGACTAAAAATGGTATAGTAGTAATGAGGGGACCTGAGCCTGGGAAAATTTTCGATACCGTGGGAAAATCTATAGATCGGCGGCGCCTTTGATCTGAAATTACTGGGATTTGACCCGGGGCCAACCCCAAATTTTTCGACGTCATTATGTTATCGGTGGCGCCATCTAGCGTACATAGTCTGAAGTTCGTTGTGTCCTTTTACAGGATGCCGTAGTGGTAAATAAAATAAATTCATAAATCAGCACGCCGCCGACGTTCAATGTCGTTGTGTTGTAAACAGGGGTATCATATTTCACGGTTATTTTTACTTATAACTGATAAGCGTTTCCGTTCTAGCAAAAACAACAAGCTCAAACTTGCATTTATATTTTATCGATGATAAACATGCATGGATATTTACACTGCCGACTAACTACATATATGTTTAATAATATATTTAAAAACAATCCAGCCCATAACCCCATAATACTTTCAGTCAAGTTGGACATTATCTATTACCCAACTAACAACCCTTAGGGCCAAAAAAGGGTGATATCAAAAATTTTAAAAAGTACCTAACTATACCATAACTCTTTTTAGGCGGGGACAGCGAGGCTGCTTTTTCCGGGGTGTGCGCAACCCTAACTATTAGGGGAATGTCCGAAAACCGGATTTTGATCATCTGCGCACATGTCGTTAGGGCCTTATTCTATTTTTTCAATTATTTCGTGTTCTAGCGATCCGATTTAATTCGTTCTTTTACCAAAAATTTTCAAATAATTAGTCGCGTATTTGAAGACCAGTTTCACCCGCATATGCCAAAAGGGCCGTATTCTATTTTTTCAATTAATTAACGTTCTATCGACTCGATTCAATTTATTCTTTTTCTAAAAATTTCTAAATAATTATTGGCCTATTTGAAGACTAGTTCTACTCGTTTAGCATGTGCCAAAAGGGCCTTATTCTATTTTTTCAATTAATTAAGGGCCGTAATCAATTTTTCTCGATTAATTCAGGTTCTATTGGTTCGATTTTATTAGTTTTTTTTTACCAAACATTTCTAGATAATTAGTGGCGTCTTTGAAGACTAGTTCCAACCATTTAGCATACGCCAAAAGGGCTGTAATCAGTTTTTTCGATTTAATTTGCTCTTTCACCAAAAACTTCTAAATAATTAGCGGCATCATTGAAGACTAGTTCCAGCCATTTAGCATAAGCCAACAGGGCCGTAACCAGTTTTTTCAATCAATCCACTTTCTAGTGGTCCAATTTAATTCGTTTACCATAAATATCCACAATAATGTATTGGAATGTAAGTATCGAAAGTCCTGAACACAAAACAGCAGAGAGGATAACATTTAACAATAGCTTAGGTCTGAATAAAGAGTATGCAAAATTTCTGTCAAAAAAAATCTAAGAGTTGAGAGACCTTTCTATACAGTTCCAGATGACATCGAGCGAGCGTGTAATCTCAACCATACGAATACAAAAAAAAAGAGCTCAAAATAGCTGGAAACCCATATTTGCTTCATGTTTCCATTGGTTCTTATGAAAATCCTTTTCAAAAATCTGATAGTCGTGGGTGGGGTAGAAGGGGGGGGGGGGGGTCACTGTGATATAAAACCGTCCAGTTCTCTGTCCCCATTCATTAGTTTGCAGTTTCTCAATGAGTGAAGACGCGCAAAGCTAGTTCGCCTATACTGATCTATACGTTTGTGAAAAATAATAGTAATTAGAAGATGTCCCTCTTCGCAGATTTAGTGAAACATATAGCCTCTCTCCTGGGGCTACTTACACCAAAATATAATGATATCATCGCTAAAGAAGGACTGGAGGAATGTACTCGAGGAGTAAGAAAGCTCAACAAATCGATGAAACAAGCAGCATCCATGGGTGAAAAGCAACACTTAGAGTCATGTCTGCGGAATATAAGAAGTATGAGGAAGCAGTTCAAGAATATGCAAAAGAAAGGGGCAGGACTTTCACCACGTCCTGAAGGAGCAAGAGAGCGAGTGCATTGGGATGATTCAGTTTCAGCGTTTAGCAGCAGGATAAGGACTGGAGTTATCTCAAATTTGAAACACAAAGAGCCAAAAGCATTCTTGGTTGATTGTGCTGCATTGTTCAAACGCAGGATCCAGAATGGTCTTAAAAAGGATGAAGCCATCAAAGTTAATGCAGTATTTTGTGGGGAATTCGAGATCGTCAAAGGTGATAAAGTACTAAAAGAATTTAAGTATTTCACAACGTCTAACTCGCCCATCTACCGAAATACTAATCTTGGGCAATGGTTTAATGAAAAAGTTGCTGAACCCATTATGCACGAAATGGAGGAATTCCAAGAACGTGACAGTGGTTGGGCCTTGAAGAAAATTGTTAATTTGGGCATCAACATTAACAAATTCACGCCACAACTAGGATCTTCATACGTAGAACTACCTTCTCAAATAGCTGCGAGGCATGCCTGTGTAAACGTGCAGAACACCGATAACAGATGTTTTGCATGGGCCATAGTGTCTGCTCTGTATCCTGCAAGCTCCGAATTTGCGAAAAGACCGTCATCGTATCCAGATCCTAAAGATGTGTTGAAGTTGAAAGGCATTCAATTCCCCATGACTTTAAAGCAGATTTCCAATTTTGAACGACAGAATGGTTTGTCCATAAATGTTTACAAACTAGGAAAATCTAAGAAAAGCTTCAAAGTCCAGCCTGCATTGCTAACAAAAAACAAACAGGAGAAGCACGTAAACCTCCTGCTTGTTCAAGATCAATATTTTGAGGAGAATGAAGACTCTTTATCTGTGAAGTATCATTATGTGTGGATTAAAAATTTATCAAAATTAGTATCCTCACAATTGAGTAAGCATGATGGGAAAAAACACATCTGCGATCGCTGTCTGCACTATTTCAGATCGCAAGAAAAGCTCCACAAACACCTTGAGGATTGCGTGAAGATTAATGAAACAGCTATTAGAATGCCAGAAATCGGGAAAAATATATTGAAATTTAAAAATTTTAAAAACAAGGAAAGAGCGCCCTTTATAGTGTATGCGGATTTGGAGAGCGTTTTGACCCCAACAAAGGAGGATCCTAAAAGGACTCAACACCATATTCCAGCTGCTGTAGGATATTACCTAAAGTGCTCCTATGATGACTCATTATCCTTTTACAAGTCATTCCGTGGTCCAGAATGTATGCAGTGGTTCGCTGATGAGATGGCTCAGTTAGCAGAAAATATCGCAACTGTATTCTGGTGTCCCTTCGACATTGATATGACGAAAGCCGAAGAATCAGAGTTTCAGAAAGCTACACATTGTTACATCTGCGCACACTCGTTCAATTCGCCAAGTGATAAAGTTCGAGATCACAACCACTTGATTCCTAACAACAACTACAGAGGTGCTGCCCATTCGTCGCCATGTAACATTAATCAACAAAATTCACACGTGATATCTGTGGTGTTTCATAACTTGAGCGGCTACGATGCCCATTTCATCATTGCAGACATAGCTAACAAAATGAAAGGATCTATTGACTTGTTACCAATAACAAAGGAAAAATACATCTCATTCACCAAGCACATTGATGATTATCCAATCCAGTTTCGCTTCATAGATAGTTTTCGATTTATGAGTTCATCCTTGGATAAACTAGCATCAAATTTACCTGAGTACCCCAACTTAAGGTCTCAGTTCGCAGAGCTAGATGAAGATAAAACTGCTTTACTGACAAGAAAGGGTGTGATGCCATATGATTA